TGAAACTCCGTCCCCCAAAAAAAAAAAAATCAAAAAATAATTCATGTTGATGATGTATTCAAAAGCCCTACAATAGTGTTTAAATTAAGAAGGTACTCAGAATTTATAATTTAAATAGTAAACATATGGTACTACACAAAAAAAAGCATTGAAGCAAATAATTCATTAAAAATGCAAATGAATACAAGTGAACTTGCTTAGAAAAAGCAAGTAAGGAACCAAAAGCTGTAATAACAGTGGAAAAGGCAAGGTCGAGGACTGTTCACGGGGGAGAATTCTGATGAGGTCAAGCACAGCCTTCGGAGCTGTGGACTACTTACTAAGGAAGCAGCAGTTCTGAATTTTTATTATAGAGCTTTGCTCATACTGTGATGATTTCAGATAAGGTATTTATGGATTGTCTGAATATTTGACGTTGGAACTATTTTATGGACACTAGATAGATATATTACCTTTTATGGAGAAAATAGACAGTTCTATATAGGTAAATCATTCGCATTATCAGAAGAGAAAGCTGGGCTGAGGTGGGGAAGGAGGTGGGACACTTCCCCTGTGAAACATTTCATGGCTGTTCAATACGTTTAAGCAATTATGCACTACCATAAATTAGAAAAGATTATAAATCAATTAGTGAATCTTACTAGCAGCCATAGACCCATGTAAAATCAATCACATGATGCCCTTTTTACAAGAAATTCAGTCTTGATAAACTCAGTTATTCAGGAAAATGTCACTGCAGTGATGTCAATCTATTCTAAATTAGAATCAGTCCAAGAATCGACTTCTGTTTTCTTCAGCAAAGATCACTCAACACCAACGTGTGGTAAATAGTCATACAGGCTTGAGGATCACACAAGCACGCCCTATTATGCCATCCTCCGCCTTGGCAAATGGCTTACCTTGAGTGAAACCATTAACTACTCCCAGTTCAAGTGACTGAAAGTAAGAAACATGGGCCAAGTGTCCATCACCTTGAAAATAATAATTTCTTCAGAATTAACACTTTTCTCAATACTGAAATTTTCACTGATAGGTTTTAAGTAAATCTCACGAATTCGTTTTTTGGCTTAACTATTCACCGAAGAGAAATCTTAGGAATTATAGCTCTTTGCCCTTACAAAGTTGCAAATATCTAGTCATTGCTAACAACTATATTTTAAATAGGTACTTCAGTTATGAAATATGAAAATATAATCAAGGACAATTTGAGTATGTTTGCAATTATGTTTCAACATTGGTCATCTTAGGTTTTCATATATCATGTACGACAGAATACTTAAGTAGAGAGAACGCAGTAGTTATTGCCAAATTAGGAAGTTTGCGCGCCAATCAATATTAAAAACCAAAAAGAACTTGAACAGATTTACTTTCGTAATATTTGAAATATACAAAAGAATACAATTGACGTAAGTAAGTTAGGAAGCATAACAACATGAACTCCCATGGTTAGCTATTCTTCTTTTCCAATATATACATTTATTCTCTCTCAAGTTTACAAAGACCAATTTGACAGCTTCCTACACATTTATTTTACTATGATAAAGTTCTAATATTTTTGAACATTTTCACCATGATTTTTTGACTGACTCATGGGTAACTTATAAAAATGTCAATGAAAGTATTTTTTAAATGTTATTATTTTCTAATTAAGTACAGTGATTAGAAAACATAGTTTTTGTGATAGAAATTTTCAGAAATTTGATGAAGTTTACTTTGTTGCATATTGTGTGATACATTTTTGCAATTACTACATGTCTTTGAAAGATTGTATATTTTCTTTATATATATATATATATATATATATATATACACACACACACACACACACATACATACATATATATACAAAATATATATATATATATTTTGAAACAGAGCCTCACTGTAGCCCAGGGTGGAGTGCAGTGGTGTGATCATGGCTCACTGCAACCTCCCCCTTCTGGGTTCAAGCGATGCTCCTGCCTCAGCCTCCCATGTTGGCCAGGATGATCACAATCTCTTGACCTTGTTACCTGCTCACCTCAGCCTCCCAAAGTCCTGGGATTACAGGCATGAGCCACCTCACCCAGCCAAGGATGCCTACTTTCTAAACTATTAGATGCAGGAATCTATATATATTTATTCCATTTAGCCTATTAATTGTGTTGTATAAATTGTTAATCTTTACTAGCTTTTTCTGCTTAACAAAAATAATTGATAAAGATGTATTAAAATCTACCTCTGTAGATGATTTTTAATGGTTTGATCAATTGTGCTTTATATATTTTCATGCTATTTTTAAAATTGCTTACAGCTTTAGTATTGTTATACTGTCCTGATAAATTATGTAGTAAAACTATCTTCACCCAATTATTTTCTGTGCTAAAATCTGAATAATCTGAAATAAAATGGGTGTATTTCCACGGCAAATCTGTCCGTATTCCTTTATTTTCAACCTTTTTTTTTTCATGTTTAGATGTGTTTCTTGTAAGCCACATATAACTACCCTTTTAAATCCAAACTCAGTGTCTCTGTCTTTTGGCTTTTGGAATTAGATTGCTATATTCGTTTTCTATTACTGCATGACAAATTACTGCAAACATACTGAAAACAAGACAACGTATTATTCTCAGTTTTTGTGAGTCGGGAATCTAGCACGTTTTAGCTGGGTCCTATACTCAGCTAAAATAGAAAAAAAAATTATAAGGTTTTAGCTGGCTGAGTCCTCATCTGCAGGTTCAACTAGCAAAGATTCACCTTCATACTACCATGGATTATTGGCTGAATTCATTTCCTTATGGCTGTAGGACTGAGGTCCCAGATGCCTTTCGGCTTTCAGCTTTTAGCTGGGACTACCTTCAGCTTTTACTGACTACTCTCAGGTCCTTGCAATGTGGCAGTCTCTCAGACCTCCCTTTCTAGGACCAGCCTGAGAAAATTCTCTGCTCTTAAAAGACTCCTGTGATAAGATCAGATCCACTGGGACAATCTCCCTTTCTTAAAGACAATTGTGTCATAGGATACAACCTAATCATAGGAGTAAAATCCATCAAATTCACAATTCCAGGGATTACGTAAAACATGTGCTCTAGGCTGAAGCAGACAGGAACTCTTGGGGCCAGCCTAAAACTGTGCCTTCCACATTCTGTTACACGGATCATGTTTAGTGGTACTTGGCTTTATTTTTATCTTATTCCTTGTCTTACTTTGTATCTTATGTTTCTATTTGTCCTTTCGGTTTATTTGTTCTTATTTCTGAGTTTTAAAAAATTAGAAATACTTTTTTGTTTGCTTGCTGTCTTATATATTTCATTCCCATTCAATTTGTTTGGGAAGTTATACATTGACCCTCTATTCTTTCAGTAGTTATTCTTGATTTTTTTTTTTTTAAACAAGTGTAATTATCAAAGTCATAGACAAACAATATAAGGACATTAGAAACTAACTCCCAATGTCCTCTCCAAGTTTAAATGTTATTACAGCCTAATATTTCAGCTCTATCATTGTATAAACATCCTTTAAAGCAAATAGTATTAGTATTTTAAGACGAAAATGTGTGCATCCTTTTATGAAATACAATATTCTTATTCATTATTCCATTTTACATTTCAGATCATCATTTTGGGATTATTCTATTTCTTTACCAAGCAACAATTAGAACCTTTTAGCTAAATGCTTTAGAACTTCCTTATAGTCTCTGTTTTTGCTCAAAACTGTCCTCATTTTTGCCAATATTTTGGAAGGTGTTTCACAGAATTACAGTGAGCAACCACACAACTTTATGTGAACATTTTCTCTCGGCATTTTGAAAATATTATCCCATTGTCTTCTAGCTGCCACTGTTGATATTGAGAGGTTGCCCGTCAGTCTACTGGTGTTTTCTTTATAAGCTGATGTCATCTTCTTACTAGTACCTACTCCTCCATACTGGTGGAAGTAGCATTTCTATGAAAAATAAGTGGTTAAGTGATTGTCACTAACTATTGATTTTGTAAAAGTTGTTTTCTTCATTTCTATGAAGATACTATTGTTATTGATATGGACGGAGGCAAAGAAATACTGGGTAGAAGAGGGGGTTCCCAGCAAAAGCCCTACCCTCAAGCCTGGAAACTGGCAGCCCTATGTCTTCATAGGCATTCTGTTTTCACGCCCAAATGTTGCCTTTTCTAAGACCACTCTGGCCTGCCATGACACTATCCTGTGCTCATATAAACCCCTGAGCCCCTCCAGCCACCCTCGCCAAACAGATGTTTATATAGTTAATATGCCCTTATCATATATAATCTAGTTGCTACTTTTCTTAGTATTTTAGCTGTCATAAAGGACTTCATGATAAAATAGTAATAACTCCATTGGTATTTTCCTCTGACCTTCAAATCTGAAATGGTATTAATGGATATCTCTTATGAGTCTTAGACTCTTAATGGGTCATAAGAGTTACAGGGACTTTATACCTGGTTTTGGAAAAGCATGAACTCAAAGTAAATTTAATTAAAGTCCCTACTCCACAACCTCAATTCACAAGAGAAAATTATATTCTCTATGGATAATCACATAAAATTATACAGAGGCTAATAAAAAGGGAAAAACCTTTTCCCTCTTCCTATATGGGCTAAAAAGACATAAAATTTAACCTTAAAAATTCAATGTTTCTTCCATAAAACTAGACTTTCTCACGTGAATGTGACACGGAGCTGTTCCAATTATCAAAACTAAAAGGAAATAAAAATGCAAAGAAAGTACAAGATTTCTAATACTTATTTTAAAATATTTTTCACTCCGGAATTTGTTCTGAGTCATGTGCTGCCCAGGATGCCTCTGCCTGGGCTCCAGTTATCTTCTCATGGTCCTCATGTTTTTGCAGTCTAACTTCTCCAGCAACGTAAGATATAATTTCCTAAAAAAAAGGGATTTTTCTAAGAAGAAAAGGCAGGGTAAAGGGCAGGAGAGTGCCATGGGAGGAGGTGCTACTGAGATGCTGTGTTCATAGAAGGCCTGCCTGATAAAGGGAGATGTGATCTGAAACCTGAATAAAGTAAGGGTGGCCAGTGCTCCAGAGGGAGGAGCCACAAGAGCCGTGAGAACCGGGGGGCACCGGAGGAATCCCTGGGAGGCCAGGGCAGGTGTGGCAGGAAACGTGGGAGGAGCTGAGATCAGAAAGGGGATGAGGAGCCAGGCTATGGAGGTCCTGTGAGGAGATGACAGGAATTTGAATTTTATTTTGAGAAGGAAAGTTTTTGAATAGAGGGGTGATATAATCTGATTTATGTTCTAAAAGGATCATTTTGGCTGTGACAGGGAAAACAGACTGAAGAAAAACAAGAACTTTCCACAGCCTACAAGAAAAATCCAAACTACTGAGACTGTCAATGAAGACACTTTAAAATAAAGGCCAAACCTGGAGACTCTTCATGTTTACTGATGTTCAGACTACCTGCTGCTCAGTGAGTACTACACTGCCTTTTACATGGTTTTATTTCTGCTTTTGCCATTTCTGAAGCCCAAAGTACCATTTTTTCTTTTCACAGACTGGCAAAATCCTACTTGTTCCAATGGGCCAGCTCAAATGTCATTGTTTGGTAAAGCCTTCCTTTATGACCCTGGGATAGCTGAATTTTTTTTCTGCTTCTCCTCCACCCCAACATTGTGATTGTGACACAAAATTTGAGTTACAAAAAGAAAACATAACAAAAGATAAGAAGGTAATTATACACTGTAGGCGACTGCTTTATATAACTCTAAGAAAAGTCAGACTCTCCATAATAGGAAACATGGATATCAAAACACGCAGTAAAACCACAATAATTAAAACACAGAACAAAAATGTCCTGAAGACAACGGGAGGTATATAAACACACATAATTCTATCTACATCATGCCTTGCAGATCAATCCTATGAAGATATCAACAAGAACAAAGACTTAATTACTCAAAGCAGTAGAGGGCCTTGGTTCCAACAGAATCTCTACAACTGAAGTCCACAAACTAGGGCCTGGAGGCCAAATCCCACCAGATGGTGTTTATAAATAGTGGACATGGAACACCACGCCCGCTCATTTGCATATCCCCTCCAGCTGCTTTTGCACTACCTACTCAGCAAAGCAAGAGTCTTTGTGATGAGCCACATGGCTCACAGAGCCTAAATAAAATACTTACCCTTTATTAAACAAGTTTGCTGACCCTTGCTCTGCCCCACTTCTCCACAAGCTCCTTAACTACTTGAGGTTCTCAAATAAGTCCTGATCCTTCAATTGTCTCAGTGACTGCTCATGCTAGTTCTTCTGCCTGGAGCATGGTTCTCTACCTCCTCAGCCTGGCTAATCCCACTGATCCTTTGAGACTCAGTTCAAGTCACCTCTAACAAGATGCTCCTCACTCTCCACTGTGCACAAAGAGCCCCCCTCTCTGGTCCACACCTGCTCATGAATACCTGGTACCTGATACTCAGCCCATCTGATTTTAACTATTTATATACTTGCAGCCTCACTTAAATATCCCTGAGACAGGAAATGTTTTCTGGACTTCACTTTTCCTCTCCAAATGAACAAATACTAAACTGTTGAGCTTCTTTGGTTAGCATTAGACCCAGACTAACAGAGAGTTAAATGAGTCAGAAGGGAGTTCAGATTAGTTTATTGCCTCATACTACACATCAGCATGGTAAAGTGATCACAGGCCATTAAGCCTAGGGGGGAAACTATATAAAAGATGATTCCTCTTAAATAACTATGTACAGTCTTGAGTCCTGATGAGGAATTGCCTCCAACCTGTGATGGAGGTTCCTCTGCTACTTCCTGCTGCTTCCAGATGCCTCTAGCCATGACTCACCCATTCGCTTCCTAATTTGCTGTTTCCAAACCACTTTAGGAGCTGGAAAGCAAAACAAACATGTGGTAAAACCGGTACCTAAAATTAGAATAAATAGGCTTTTAAGGACCAGTGGGATTTGTCTTTCACAGGTGCATGAACAAGGCTGGTCTCCCAAAGATAATTTTTCTAAATTCCAGATTCTTGGCTCTGTTCTAAATGGATTTGCTTTTTTAAATAAAAAACCTAGTAGTACAACTAACCGAACTATTTTTAAATGGAAAGTTATACCTTGACTTGCTTAAAAAAAACTATCAAGACTTTTGCTTTTAAAAAGAACAATGTTATTAGCAAACTTAAGTAATTATTACATTAGAAAATAAAACATGCACCTATTTTAAGTCTGATATCAAAAAATGTTAATGTCTAAACAAATTAGAATTTTTAAATGTACCTATTTATAATCATTAATGCCCAAACATGGTCTCTTAGAGATAACAAAAGTCAAACTTCAGGAGTCATTGCCAAGTGAAGATTAAAAAGAAATTAAGCTTGTTTTGAAAATGAAACGTAAATTAGGGGAAACTGAATCCATTTTTACAACTCATATATATAAACTATTATTTATAAAAATATAGACTTCACTTTTATTTCTGCATTTTTGCATCCAGGTAGAATCATTAAAGGCTTTTTTCTGTAAAAGATAAAAATATTTCAAGTAACATTTTTTCTTTTAAATTTCTGAGAAGTTTAAAGCAATAAAATAATTGCTTTCATTTCTTTAGCACGGTATGATTTTTCTTGTAATTAATACAAAGGAGCTAAAAAATTTCAACTTATTCGCTCAAAACCAATTAAAACCTAGTCAAAGATCTCCTAACTTATAAATATTAAGAAAACAAACCATTCAATATTTTTTTTCAAATGGCATAATTTAGTTATAGGTTTGGCAGAGTCAGGAGAATTTCATTTTCTAATCTTTTATGTCCCATATGAAAAGTTTCTCAAAAAATATTTCTTCTGCCTATGATTTTGCAAAATGCTTTCAGTATCATTTTGCATCTCCTCTGCATAGACAGGCAATTTTTGCACAAAATGATGATTTTCCTTATGATTTCTTTTTCTTAAACTCAGGTGTTTATCAGATAGAGCTAATAAGTACCCACCATATGCAAAGCCTAATCTATACTGACAAACTTAACACAATTCTCCACTTTGGCTTTCCCATTCCAGTTTACTGATAACTTTAGAAATCTAGTCCTGGTCCTAGCACAAGATCATAAATGTTCTTCTTCAGTTTTTTACTTAGAGTGCTAATGGGGGAAGAAAGTGGCATTATGATCTCTACATAACATTAACAAGACTTATAATGAAATAAAACAAACAGGTAACTGGCTCTTTTTCATCAGTACAATCCTGATTGGTCTTTTTCATCAGTATAAAATAAAATAAAATAAAAAATAGGTAACTGGGTCTTTTTTATCAGTACAGGCTGATTTGTGGCTTTGTCTATGAAATGAACAGAAAACAAAAACTAAGGGTTTGTAAAAGGGAATTCTATTAGCTCACTTAATATTGCATTCCCCACATTTTAAAACACAAAATGAGGCGGGGTGGTTATGCTTGAACAGAACAGGTTAACCACTCCTATCTTTTACCTGTTGGGCTTCTCTGATTTAAGCTGGTTTACGTCCAAGGCTGGCACTTGAAATACTAACCTCTGCATACAAACGAATCCTGAAGTTTAAAAACTCCTCTTCTGTAACATTTGAAGAAGACACTCTTTTCAGAATTTTCAGAACTGCATCTTCCTAAACCATTCTCATTCTGATCATTTTTGACTTTCACACAAATGATTGTCACACTGCGTTTACTGACAGAGACAGACATGGAATATACGAAACCAGAGGACCTTATTTGTACTTAGATTTTAATTTACTACATGAAGTGTATATAGATTTAAGGAAGTAAATAATTCTGAATTTAAAAGCAAGTAAACATATTTAGTGAAGAAACATGTAAAGAGTTTTAAAATCACTGATATGCAACACTTCCATTTCAAAAATAGGCTGTATGAGAAATGTCAACTGCAGAATTTGATTTTTATAGACTTTGGATTTTTGTTTTACCAACAAAAGAACACATAAGTAATCATATGCCATGATTAAATGGTGATTTAAATTAAAATTATAATAATTGATCCGTAAGAGCCAATGATAAAATCCAAAATCAATGCGTTTAATGCTTTGATATCATATCTTATAAACATTATAAAACACAGATATTTCAAACCAGAAGCAATACAATGCATTATACATTAACAGAATTTATCATTCATATATTGTAAAGCAAATTATGAAAGGAGACAAACAGCAGCCTCATGTATAGACCGATTTAGGGAACCATTTCACGTTCAGGCTAAAGGGTCTTAATGGCAGGAGTCATACTTGTTCTTTATTTTCCTTTTCATTGAATTGTTATAGTAGTGTCTTTGTAAATTGTCTTCTGTTAAATTTAAATAATCATCCCTGAATATGAGATGTATTAATCCAATCATTGTCAGGATGACTGCAAAATTCAGAATTTCTTCTCCAAATAATTACTATGGTTAAAATCAACATTATATTGCCTCCTCCCTCTTTTTGAAATGCATTCTGAAGCTTGTTGGTGTCTAGATCATGCATTACTATACATCTTTTTACTAAAAAGCAACTTCAATGAGAATAGCAGAAAACTCAGTTATTGGCATGAGAAAAAAATGAGTGACTGAATCAGTCTCACAAGCTTCTCTTTGTTGAAGCACCAGTTATCATACCAGCCTCAGGAATGTGTGGCATAGTACTGCAGAAGTCAGATGATAAATTTAAATGTTCTTGCCAAATTGGTAACCTGCCTTACATACACTGCATGACATCCAATTGGAACAACTGCAAGGTAGCACGTGGTTAGGGATTTTTCTTTTTTCTTCTTTGGTAAACTGAAGAGATGCGACAAGGAAGAATGCCGTAAGATCAAGCACAAAAGGAAAATAGATGGGGGATACTGCTGACCTGAAACTGACTCAGCAGCAGTTAACACAGTAGTTGATTCAATCCAAGCTTTGTCTATTAAATGTCTAATTATCTGCAAAGCTTTGGGCACAGCACTCCACGGTAAAACAAAGTCCACCCATCTTTGCTTCAAGGAGTGTATAACCCAGTGTGACGAACAGGCATGTACACAGCTAACTGTAAAGAACAACATGACAAAGGTAGGGCATTTGTCTCCAGCAGACAGTTGATAAGATAATTAACTCATATTTTTAAAAAGCATTAATTTTTGTTGGAAGTTAAATTTAGGGTGATAGGACATTGTGTGAGATAAACCACATTTCCATTCCACACTGAGTAGCTATTCTGACATAAGCTCTGATAAAATGGAGTGGCAGTCAACTTAATTATAGATATAAGTTATCTGGAGAAAGCATCACCCTGCCTTTCTGAGGTACCTTCCCCAAATTTAATACAGTTGGGAAAAACAGAAACATCTTTTTTGACCACTGTGTTAAAACTTTAACTCCCCTACTTGGTTTCTAAAAAGCAAACAGAATAAAACCTCAGTTTACCTATCAATATTATGTCTTGAAATAAGATGGAACTCTTTCTTATCTGGAAGATGAGAATATTAACAGTACCTACCCTACTAAAGTTGTTCTGAGGATTGAATGTTTGTCTAAAACACAACTGCACCTATATTATCTTTTCTCAGCTGAAGGACATATCAATACCCTGTTGTGGATCTGAATCTTACTTATCTTTAGGCTAGCACAAATACAGCCTAAAAAATAACATTTTCCCAGACAACCCAAGCCCTCACAATCACTTTCTCCAGTGTTCTGGATCTCCCATAGGTGTCACTACAGAAACAAACAAACAAAAAAGCCCCACTACATTCAATAAAAAAAGAGACTTGAGATAATCATCTCCTTTAAATCAGGGATACTGGACCCAGTGTTATCGAGGGCCCTGCTCTGGCCTGCCTCTAGTCACACCCCTCTCTGTAGAATGAGGAGTCTGTCTGGACAAAGGAGGATGTGCCCACTAAGGGTCTGTACTTCCCATCCACGGCAGTATTCTCCAACAGAACTTTCTGTATGATGGAAATGCCCTGTATCTGTGCTATCAATATGGCAACCACTACGCCCATGTGACCATTGAGCATTTGAAATAGGCCTAGTGTGACTGAAGACTTTTTGATTTTATTTAATCTGAATTAATGTAAATTTAAACTTAAACAGCCACAGGGAGTTAGTGTTCACAGTACTGACCACAGAGAATTCTCTGGTCGAGGTCATCCATGACCTGATTGCCAATCCATCATTCACTTCTTTGTTTTCATCTTCCCTGATGATCATCACAGTGGGGCCACACTTCTTAATTAAGTACTTGCTGCTTCTGACCTCTGGGGCACCATATTTCCCTGGTTTTCTGCTTGTATTTCTCTGGCAGAGAGATCTTTGTTGGCTTGCCCTGTTGTGCTCAAACTCTCGGTACTGAGACGCTTTAGGACTCAGACCTGTACCCTCTACTCTAATTTCTTTCCTAGGTAATCTCACATGTCAATATGTCATTCACTATGAAATCTCTATGTCCAAAGACAGATTCCCAAAGCCAACAGAGTATCTGAAATCTTCACTAAGCATTTAAATGTCACAAATCAAGAGCAGCAGTCTTAATTTCTCACCTCTGCAAAAAGTCATCTCCTCTTACAGTCTTCCCCTTGTCATTTTTGCATCAACACCTACCTAGCAATTCAAGACAAAACTATGGGGCTCATCTTTGATTCATTTCTCTTTCCTCACCCCAAATCCAATTAATAAGTGAGAATGTTTCATTAAACTTCCAACTATATCACATGTTGGTTTACATTACTTCATGCCTCGTACCACAAACCTAGTCCCAGTCACCGTGATCTCTAGTCCTGACTTTTGCAGTGGTCTCCAGACTCATCACCTGCATTCACACTTGCCCTCATCACCACCCATTCTCTGCAACTGCAGATCAACGATGCAGAAGTACTTTGAAACAGGTGTCACAGAAAGGTTTAGTGACAGGTGGTCCTCTGAATCAAGACTTGAAATAAGAAAAGAAGGATCAAGCTTCACAGATATCTAGGAAAAGAGAATTCTAGGAACGGGGAAGAGCAAGGGCCACAAGCTATAGATGAAGAGTGGCACTAATTCAAAGGGAAATGGAAAGGTAGTGAAAAGTTTTTTAAGCTTGGAAGAAAAACCTGATACATAGAGAATAAGCATAAGAGAGTGAGAGCAGAAGTTGGAGAAACTAGGAGACAATTTGTGAAGTCTGAGTGAATAGGGAGATGGAGACTAATCCACATAAAAGGCATATTTAGAACTGGAGGTGGAATGAACTGGATGTGAAATGTGAAGCAATAAGGAGGATCAACAATAACTCCTATGATTTTGGCTTGTGAAACTCCAGGAAGATTGGTGTTAATTATTGAGTTATTTTAGGTACATTAAGGAATAGTTTTGACAGCTGGTGGTGGTAGAGGTCAGAATCAAGGGACATGACAAAGGCAGGGATATCACAAAGGCAGTTTCCAAGAAGGGACAAAGGTCACTGGGTTCCAATCTTTGGAAGTGTTACAAAGATGAAGGTCTGAAATTCTAGCCTTCACATGCCATGTATCCTTAATGGTAAATGGGAGGTTTGCCATTCTGACTATATAGTTAAATAGACAGTTTCATATATGAGTATGGAGTACAGAGAATTCCTCTAATTCTCTCCACTTACCTTTCAGGATATCTGTTAATTCAGCATGAATCTGTGCTCAGTGATAGAAAATCTGTGGCTCAGTAGTAACCAAATGACAAAATTAGCAGCGATATGGCACACAGCTATGGTGGCTATTTTTGTATAGGATGAATAGCCATATCAGAGGCTCGAAAAACAGGGGGGTGGGGTGAGGGAGAGCATCAGGAAAATAGCTAGTGGATTCTGGACTTAATACTGACGTGGTGGGTTGATCTGTGCAGCAAACCACTGTGGCACACGTTTACCTATGTAACAAACCTGTGCATGCTGCACACATACCCCAGAACTTAAAAGTTGATGAAAAAAAAAAAAGACAGGAAAATAAATCCATTGGATACTTATAACTTTTTTAGTGTGTATAGCCAGAGCAAAATCACTCACTCACTAATGCAGATCATGCACGCTCATATAGTTCATCATCATCAGGGACACCAAAAATCTTCAGAAATAGAAATTGGTGATATATGTGCTACTGAACAAATATAACTGCCTAATTTTAATCTAGATAGTCTAATCTAAATAGTCTAAAGTCATTCATAACAGTAAAAATAATGTAATAAAGATAGCAAAGCTAATTAAAAGATGATATGGTTTACATATTTGACCTGCCCAAATCTCACATTGAAAAGTGATCCTCAGTGTTAGAGGTAGGATCTGGTGGGAGTTAGCTGACCATGGGGACAGATCCCTCACGGATGGCTTAGTACCACTGTAGTGAGTGTGTTCTTGCCATGAGTTCACAGGAGAGCTGGTTGGATAAAAGATTTTAGCCCTTCCTCTTCTCTCTTGCTCCTGTTCTCCCCATGTGATACGCCCACTTCCCTTTGCCTTCCACCATGATTGTAAGGTTCCCGAGCCCTCACCGGAAGCTGAGCAGATAGATACTGGTGCCACGCTTGTACAGCTTGCAGAACAATGAGCCAATTAAACCTCTTTCTTTATATTAATAGATTACCCAGTCTCAGTTATTTCTTGATAGCAATGCAAGAAAAGCCTAATAAAAAGGTATCTCAATTTTTAAAAAGGTTCATTTAGTTCACATTGCTTTACAAAATAAAAACACACGAATTATTCCCATTCATGTGAAAGAACTTTAAAATCTGTGCGAATTCCAGAATAAGCATTTATCTGATGTTGGCCAAGTTTTATCCCCATGCATTTAAAAAATGGTTTCTGAAACAGCTCTCTTAGGAAAACCAATACACAGGATTACATGACAGGAAGTGATTGAATACATAATAATATGATGCTTTTTTGTAAATTTTTATTTATAGAAAAGAAACACTTATTATTGATCATTGTATCTATGCATCTGATTAAATACTTCAGAGTATATATATATTTTTGAGATGGAGTCTCACTCTGTTTCCTAGGCTGGAGTGCAGGGGTATGATCTTGCCTCACTGCAACCGCTGCCCCCTGGGCTCAAGTGATCCTCCCACCTCAGCCTCCCATGATCTGGGACCACAGACATGCATCACCATGCCTGGATAATCGTCTGTATATTTTGCAGAGACAGGATTTCGCCATGTTGCCCAGGCTGGTCTGAAACTCCTGAGCTCAAGTGATCTGCCTGCCTTAGCCTCCCAAAGTGCTGGGATTACAGTCTTGATCCACCATGCCTGGCCACAAAAACCTTCTAATTTCTAAACAAAAATAACTTAGACTGAAATGACTTTAGGTTACTTCTAATATTTTTATTAGAATAGTCTAGCTAAGTCATTAAAACTGTGTTTTGATTATGAATACTTTTGATGAGAAAATCAGATACGGTTGCTATTCAGAGCACTAAAAACAACTTGTAGCATGTATAATTCTGCCATTCATTGTTTCATAAAAACTTTTATCAGTTAAACAATAGGTTTTCTTCATCTTTCATCTGTGTTAGTTAAAAAGAGAAGGTAATTGTGCTTCAGTTTCTTAAAAACAATGTGGTAAGTAATCATGAAAAAAAAAGAAGGAAAAGATATACGCACATATCTAATTGGAACTGTCACAAAAGAAACGATTTTTCAGAAAATAAATGTTTTTATGCTTTATAAGCCTTTCTTACAAGAATGTCATTTGAAAAGAAAGAAATCTCACCAGATTTTTAAGGGAGCTGTGAGGACTCAAAACTTGATTCTTTGCTCCATCTGCCATGCTTCATGCTGTTCCTTTATTGTCAAAAAGCTTAGCTATGGAGGCTCCACTGCATTTGGGAAAGTCACTTAAAAAAGTATGGTGAACAACTGAAAAAGCAATAAAAATGCTAGAACTGTGTACCTATAAATCTCCTGAAGGATAGTAACCACATTGATTTTGTAAGCTAATGGGATTTTACAGATTATTTTAGATCCAGACTGATTTATTTAGACTTGCCAACATCTCTTGACATCTTTAGTCTTCTTTTGTTATAATTTCTAGTAGAATCCACAGGAGTGTGTGTACCTCTCTCCTACTTTTAGAAGGGGATTGGAAAGTTGGGTAGAGACACAGAAAGCCAGAAAAGATAGGCAGAAGGTATATGTACATATAAGATATTTAACATTTATATATAAAACATCTATATAAAATATACATGCATGTATGTATATATGTGTATGTGCACACACAGTGCCATTCTCCATTTTGTCTATGTATATATTCCCTTTGCAGTAACGTATGGCACTAGGGGTCTAAGTTCAAATTACACAAGTAGCATTTATCATACTGTCTTTGAACACCTGGAGTAGGCACTTACAGTAGAATCTCAGTGTCTACAATGTGGGAATTATTATGCTCACTTTGCACATCAAGAAACTGGGAATCTAAGAGGTTAACTTTCTTTTAAAATATCTCACATAAATTTAGAATCTAGACAATTATGCTTTTTCTCAATAGCCAAGTTCTGTGACTTTAATACCTGATTGCTAAAATACAGCTACAGAAAACTCAATGACAAATGTATGGTGTAAACTAAAAAATTCACATTTTGAAAGACAAACATGTATCTAAAAGGACACAAGAGTATCAATACATTTTTGGGGGCATTTATATATTTTAAAAGTACAAGCAAAGGTAATGCAAAATAAAGGGTTAACAGAGTAAAAAATTCAGAAAAGCTGAACAAGCACAAAATAAAATTTTAAAATATTTAAGCAAATTGCCATTTGTTTAGAAAATTACAAAATAAAAGGAACTAAATATAACCATGCTTTCCCAAACAGTACTTGGTCAAAGTGTCTTTCTAATGCAAAAGTAGTTCTGTATTTTTTTAAATACAAATTTTATTTTTATTCTTCACAAAATTTCCTCTAATTATGTGACTAAATTATGAATATTATAAAGCTACAATAATTTGATTTATGAGGCATATATTGACCTTAATCATATGTGAAGCAGAGAATACACAAGAACACTGTCTTTAAACATGCTCATAGTAGGAGCATACCTAGTCTTATTTGTAGTTTATTATCATCAGATAAAAAAATGATTGATTTCCTTTGATTCCCTCCCACCCACAACTATATTCCTTATCTTCTGTCTCACATAAACATCAAGGGGCATGGATTTTACAAGCTTTATTTTGGGCTGTACTTAAAAAAAATTATTACCAAAAATACCTACTTCTTTCAAGCAATGAAAATCAGCCTTACAAAGTTTGTGTGTTTGTTTAAACTTTCCGACTAGAAACACCATTCTTTCCATAAAAACAGCCAAAAAAACAGACACTGTTTTTTTAAAACAGTGTCTCACTGTTATTTTTAAAAATCACTTTACATACTTGTAAGCAGGGTTATTTTCATATAATTTTAAACAATAATGATTGGGGAAAAATCAATTTTAATTTTCTAGTGAAAGCTTTAAAAAATTAACAGACACTTAATTTAATTGATTTTACTATGCTGTTAAAGTTTATGCAAGGCCATTGGTCTAGACCAGCCTCCTGCACTAGGTCCCAGCAGACCAGACCAAACCAGAATGGAGTCACCTATGCTAAGTATCATAATCAAATCAATCTTTCAAAGAGTTCAGTTTTCCAAAAAACAGAAGATTCCAGTCAATCTGAGTCTGCATAATCAGTCCTCTCTCTTTTAACCGTATAAGGGAAGTAAATGTAACAGCCAACCTGCTGTTTGCTCTGTTTTTGCTTTCCTTAGTCCTTTTCTGCCTAGAAAGCCAACTACCTCTCTCAGCTCTTTGGAACCCTCGCACTATTTTAAAGAATTCAGTGTTGCCATTCTAAAATTGCAAATAAAGGCCAATTTGATCTTTAAATTTTGCCTTTTGAAAATGGTTTGTCCTCAAAGAATGAATGTAGAAGAAACAGGTCATTTTACACTTTAATATACAACGTAATGTTGAAGACTAAAAAAAATACAACTTCTTTGCACATTAATAAGGGAAAAAACAGGACCAAAACAAATATATTCAACAGGAAGCAGAAAGAAGAAAATATTGTTCTGGGCACTGTAACATTAGAAGACATGTACATATATATTTTTTCATGAGTATGGGTAAGTTAGAAAAGATTATAAAACTTCAGCCAGAAAACATTTTTATATTAAAAGTCTAATGTTATTTAAAATATATTTTCACATATTTTAAAAACTGTAGATTGCCACTCATTTCATTGCTATGTAGACAAAAATCCCACTTGTTTAGAATGACCCAGATCAAGAACCATCTCCTCTCAACAACTGAACACATTAACACTGGGACAAATAAAGGTCACTCTTCCATGTTTTAATATTAACACATTTAGTAACTGAATCACTCTGCCTTATAAAGGAATGTTAAAAATGAAATGAAGGTCCAGAAATAGTTTTCAAGAATCACGGAAAATGATGAGTTCTGGACAAGCACACTTTCAAAATAATTATAATCAAAACTGCTTTGGGAAGAAAATATTGCTAAGCTAATTACAGATTTTCTTGTCTTCTTAACAAAAATGGAGATACTATCATCTCTTTCTGGGTAGGGTCTGTTTCTATACCTCCATTTTTGCCTTCTTCTAAAGATATAGATGGTGTTGCATACGCAGATGACAACAGAAACTGGCAAACTCTACAGTTTTCCTATAACCTCAAAAAGTTCCTGTTGACTGTTTGCCTCTTTGAATGACTTATCTGTATTAGTAAAGCAGAATAATGTACAAACAATATGATTACCTCCCAACAAAAAGTCACACTGAATCAAAAGCCAAAGTAATAATTTCCCAAGAGGTCAGCAACCTTCTAGAAAACTGCGTCATCACTACTGCTATGAATGGTTGACTTGTCAATAGCATTCATTGAAAATAATTTTTTTTTTTCTGTTTTACTACAAGTAGCTCCTTAATAGCAAGTATTTATCCTGGGACCCAGTTTGTTGTTTTAATGGCATTAACTTATAATGAATTTCGAGACACTGGATTTCGGTAGTTTATGAAGGCCTTTTAAAAAACCTACAAATTCTTTATCATCATCAGAAATCTCTCCTGAACTACTATATACTCTGAATGGTTTTCTAGAATATCACATGAAAGTAATGGAACAACAATGGAAGGCAGAGAGAGTAAAACTCATAAGAAATAGTGATCTCACTTCTTCTGGATGAACTCCTACAGCAGTAGAACAGCATTCCTGTTCTCAAGAAATGAAACTGATGTTGAAAAGAACTTTTAGTGAAGATTTTAAAAAATACTAGAATCAAATGTCCACATATATATTCATTTGGATTTGAAAGGTATAGACATTTTACAGCCACCAAGATTTTATTTACTCTAGTAGGTGTTTAAGTAAAATAGGAACGTATGAAACTATGGCCAAACAAACACACAAAAAACCAGTCAAACTCTTCTTATTTTGCTTAAAGTTGACATCTGCTAGGATAGACATCCAAAGGCCATCAATAATGAATATGACAAACTAGTATCCGTGCAACAGAGTACTATGCAGCTATTAACAAGAATGGCATAGACTTATGGATTGCTAGCAAAAGACATCTAAGTTATTCTTTTTAGTAAAGAAAGAAACTGAAAGACAGCTTTTGCACAGCAATATGCAATTTGTATATTCTTAGTGTATGCACAGACCACTGCCTCAGTTACAAGTAACCATTTACTTTGGTTATATTTGTGGAAATAGAGGTGGGTAGGGTGGATCTACTCCTTTTTAACCATAACTTAGTTTGAATTTTTCTTGCCACAGTAATATATTGCTTTTGTTATAATGAAAAGAAATAACAGAAATCAGCACTCTTACTGGAAACGTAAATGTATTCAGATAATACACTATGTTCAGAGGCAAGAGCTTTGAAAGACCAAAAAAGAAAACCCTCTCTTGTTTCCTATTCTGCTGACTGCTTATCGGCCGCCAAAGCAGACTTTCTAACATCTTATTTTGAAAAGGCACTCTTTCAAAAAAATCCCTGACCCACACCTCCGCAATGCTTTTCCAATTAGCACTGGGTCAGAGAGAAGGGCACCTTCAAATCTCTTTTCTAA